TTGAGATGTTTAAAGCTTGAGAAGTCTTTTTGTATCCAAATCCGGCTTTAAACTTCTCCACAACAGTATCTCGGACCTGCCTGGTGTGTTCCTTTGTCTTCATGGTTCTCTCTGCGCTTTAAACAGAACCCTGAGACTATCAAAGAGCAGGTGCATTAATACGAAGACTTGATTACACACAGGTGCATTCTATTTATCATAATCAGTCATTTAGGACAACATTGGATCATTCAAAGATCCTCACTGAACTTCTGGAGTGAGTTTGCTGCACTGAAAGTAAAGGGGCCGAATAATATTGCACGCCCCACTTTTCAGTTTTTTATTTGTTAAAAAAGTTTAAATTATCCAATAAATTTCGTTCCACTTCACGATTGTGTCCCACTTGTTGTTGATTCATGACAAAACATTTAAATTTTATATCTTTATGTTTGAAGCCTGAAATGTGGCAAAATGTTGAAAGGTTCAAAGGGGCCGAATACTTTCGCAAGGCACTGTATATATTTTGTTAGCAGTGCGTTGCCTTTGTACCATTTCATCCGTGATTGTTGTACAGCTTACAAGAAGTTGCGCTCATGCTAATGTTTGCACATAGATCGCAAATAAAACTAGATGGCTCCGTGGAATGAGAGCGTAGGAGAAATGAGAAGCCTCTGATCGAGTTGAGGGACGGTGCTAAACATTCAAACCTTGCAGAAACGGGTATAGCTCCTTTAAGTTAAACAACTGCTGCTGGCAATATTTTTTGACCTGTTTCAATCTGGATATAGGCCCCACCCCAGCACTGAGACTGTTCTGATCAAAGTGTCAAACCATATCCGTGTCAACAGCGATGTCCCTGTTGATCTCCATACAGCGGCCACTTGAGGACTGGGTTGGTATGACGGCACAAGTAATACTTAGAGGACAGAGGTTACTTTGTTGAGATTGGGGACTGGATCAACATGGCCTTAACAAGTGGAATTTCCCAAGGATCAATTCTGGGCCCCCTTCTTTTCAATATCTATGTGTTGCCATTGGGTTTCAAGACAATGTAGACTCAAGACAATGTAGCCTGTCCCAACTACGCAGATGATACACAGATGTCTCACTGACTGCAAGTGAGCATGGGCGTGAAAACTAAAGTCAATGTGTTTGGTCCACAGAAACACAGGGAAAGTGTTCGCAGCCATGTCTCTAAATTCCACAAATCAAGCTAGAACGTGAAGAAGATGACAAAGTCTCAGATCGCGTCTTTAATTCAGACAGAAGACATGTTTTATTGTCGATGGTAGAGACAGCACGAACACCAGAATGCAAGTGTATTATACAGAGCAGAGGCATGGAGACCTCCAATCAGCAGCTGCCACGGTGTGCTTGTAGCTTGGCCTTCAGCTAGACAAAACAAGGGAAAAGTACAGGCTTCTGCACATTCATAGAATGATGAGTTTAACTTTAACAAAAGTTGCTTAAAAGTGTTATGAAATCTCACATTCCCCCCTCTGGTCATACATTCCCGTGTGACCATCAAGATCGATAAACAGCAACATAACATCATAACTCAATACTTAAACTCGGTACTTCAAAAAACTCAGAACTCGGAATACTTCAAAAACTCAGAAAACTCATAAAACATGTTCAGATCTTTCATAAAACTTGTCAACAATCTTCAGTAAAAGACCAAACTTCATCAGTCGATGGTTCCAGATATTGCTTTGAAAACAGTCTCTCCCACTTCTCCGTGTTGATTTCTTCAGGCTGCATTTGTGTCGAGCCATGAATTCTTCTGTGACGTGTTATTTCAATCACACGTTTCAGCTTCAGTGTCCAGATTCAGCAATTCAATTCAGTCCAAAATATGTCCAAATTGTGTAATCCAATTGTTCCAAATGATGTCCATGCAAAAGAGGACGATGGTATTGTCCATGTCTCAGCAGCTCACAGCCTGACTGGAATCAGGGGCTGTGCAGATTGTCCATGTGTGCTGATCCAGATGCATGGTTTCTCTTGAGGTTTCTCAGTTTTGGCTTGAAAAAAAAAAACACTTTTTGTGTAAAAAAAAGTAGTCTTCTGTTCTGTAGATGTTACAGACAAGGCCCACATCCTTCCACCACCTGAAGAAGATGACATGTCTGTGATCGCGTCTTTAATTCAGACAGAAGACATGTTTTATTGTCGATGGTAGAGACAGCACGAACAACGCAAACAACAGAATGCAAGTGTATTATACAGAGCGGAGGCATGGAGACCTCCAATCAGCAGCTGCCACGGTGCCATGTAGCTTGGCCTTCAGATAGACAAAACAAGGGAAAAGTACAGGCTTCTGCACATTGATAGAATGATGAGTTTAACTTTAACAAAAGTTGCTTAAAAGTGTTATGAAATCTCACAAACGTTAGCGGTATAATTGATTCAGATATTGATTTGAATTGCCTTATTAAATCTGAAACATCAGCAGCTTTCTATCATCTGAAGAACAGTGCTAGAATAAAGGTATAGTGTCAAAATTGGAGATTCTTGTCCATGCATGTGTCCTACTCCTGAAACGATCTGCTCACTGCTCTCTCCGAACCAGGTGTGAAACAGATTCAGTATATTTACAATGCTGCAGCTTGAGTCCTGACAAGAACAAACACAAACAAAACAAATAAATTGATTATTATCTTCCTCTCCGCTCCGGTCTAGACCAGTGCAAAACCAAGAACACGGTACTGCAGTAACATCTCAGGTACGAAAAAGCAAGAAAAACAACAAGTGTAAAGCACATAACTTTTTCAGAGCTACTTAGGACCATTTACAAGACTCAAGTGATGAGGTTTTTATTAAGACATACCATACATACAGTGCCTTGCGAAAGTATCCGGCCCCCTTGAACCTTTCAACATTTTGCCACATTTCAGGCTTCAAACATAACGATATAAAATTTTAATTTTTTGTCATGAATTAACAACAAGTGGGACACAATCGTGAAGTGGAACAAAATGTATTGGATAATTTAAACTTTTTTAACAAATAAAAAACTGAAAAGTGGGGCGTGCAATATTATTCGGCCCCTTTACTTTCAGTGCAGCAAACTCACTCCAGAAGTTCAGTGAGGATCTTTGAATGATCCAATGTTGTCCTAAATGACTGATGATGATAAATAGAATGCACCTGTGTGTAATCAAGTCTCCGTATAAATGCACCTGCTCTTTGATAGTCTCAGGGTTCTGTTTAAAGCGCAGAGAGAACCATGAAGACAAAGGAACATACCAGGCAGGTCCGAGATACTGTTGTGGAGAAGTTTAAAGCCAGATTTGGATACAAAAAGATTTCCCAAGCTTTAAACATCTCAAGGAGCACTGTGCAAGCAATTATATTGAAATGGAAGGAGTATCAGACCACTGCAAATCTACCAAGACCCGGCCGTCCCTCCAAACTTTCATCTCAAACAAGGAGAAGACTGATCAGAGATGCAGCCAAGAGGCCCATGATCACTCTGGATGAACTGCAGATAACTACAGCTGAGGTGGGAGAGTCTGTCCATAGGACAACAATCAGTCGTGCACTGCACAAATCTGGCCTTTATGGAAGAGTGGCAAGAAGAAAGACATTTCTCAAAGATATCCATAAAAAGTCTCGTTTAAAGTTTGCCACAAGCCACCTGGGAGACACACCAAACATGTGGAAGAAGGTGCTCTGGTCAGATGAAACCAAAATCGAACTTTTTGGCCACAATGCAAAACGATATGTTTGGCGTAAAAGCAACACAGCTCATCACCCTGAACACACCATCCCCACTGTCAAACATGGTGGTGGCAGCATCATGGTTTGGGCCTGCTTTTCTTCAGCAGGGACAGGGAAGATGGCTAAAATTGATGGGAAGATGGATGGAGCCAAATACAGGACCATTCTGGAAGAAAACCTGTTGGAGTCTGCAAAAGACCTGAGACTGGGACGGAGATTTATCTTCCAACAGGACAATGATCCAAAACATAAAGCCAAATCTACAATGGAATGGTTCACAAATAGACGTATCCAGGTGTTAGAATGGCCAAGTCAAAGTCCAGACCTGAATCCAATCGAGAATCTGTGGAAAGAGCTGAAGACTGCTGTTCACAAACGCTCTCCATCCAACCTCACTGAGCTCGAGCTGTTTTGCAAGGAAGAATGGGCAAGAATTCCAGTCTCTCGATGTGCAAAACTGATAGAGACATACCCCAAGCGACTTGCAGCTGTAATTGCAGCAAAAGGTGACGCTACAAAGTATTAGCGCAAGGGGGCCGAATAATATTGCACGCCCCACTTCAGTTTTTTATTTGTTAAAAAAGTTTGAATTATCCAATACATTTTGTTCCTCTTCACGATTGTGTCCCACTTGCTGTTGATTCTTGACAAAAAATTAAATTTTTATATCTTTATGTTTGAAGCCTGAAATGTGGCGAAATGTTGAAAGGTTCAAGGGGGCCGAATACTTTCGCAAGGCACTGTATATATATAGCACTTGAATACAGTACTTGAACATGCAAACTTTTGAGTGGGGAAAAAAACAATTACAAGAGGCTGGTCTCCTTTCAACAATCTGCTTACAATCGGCGAGCAATGTGAAAACTCGAGAACTCCAGCCCACATGTACAGATGATTGTGCTGTGATAGGATTTATGCAGTATAAAGGATCACTGAATTCATCTATAATGTGTTTCAGGCTTTTTGGGCTCAGCATGAAGGATGTCAAGTGTTCTGTCTCAAACAACTACACTTATTTTGTCTAATGCCTGACTCTCCCCCTCCCTCATCTCTTCTCTTCCTCTTCCTCCCTCTCTCCTTCTATCCCCTCTCACCCTACCCCCCTGTCCCACTTCTCCTCTCCCCTCTCTTCCTCCCGTTCATTGCTCCTCTCACCCCCTCTCCACCCTATTCCTCCCCCTCCGCCTCTTCTGACTCCTCTACCGACACCTCTACCTATCTTCTCTACTGTTCTCTCCCCTCTCTTTCTCCCTCTTCTCTTTACCCCCTAATCTTCTCCCATCTCCCCCTCCCCTCAGTGCTGGGTGAGTTTCCGGAGAGATGCCAGTGCCAGGACCTGGAGCTAGACTGTGACGACTCGAGGCTGCATGACATCCCCCTGGTCGCCACCAACGTCACCATGATGTGAGTCACCTGTCAATCATCCTCCACTATAATACTGTCTGGAGACCTAGTCTAATACAGAGTATTCGAGCTCCTGCCAGTGGCCCCTCCCTCAGTAATGCACAGAAAACTCAGCTCAGCTCTCTCTGCGCAGGCGCCACACAGCGTACATCGTGGCTGGAACTACTGTTGGGGAGAGTGTCATGTGACTATCCGGACCTACGTCGAAACAAACCCCCACAGCGCATGTAGACTTAAGTGTTGAACCAAGAGCCGTGTTTGGGGCTGGGCTCTGAAGCTGTGTTTTTAAACAGGCTCTAAAGACGTGTTTCAGACTGGGCTCTAATATCGCTTTTTGGATTGAGCTCTAAGGCCGTTCTTGACTCATGGGAAATCTCCAGGTTTCATATTGTATCTCCATTTCCACAATCAGAACTCCAGGCGTGGAGCCAGACTGAAAAAACGGCAGCCTACTTCCTCACAGATGCTGTAGGACAGTTCAGCTCATACATACTTGGCTAGATATTTCTGCCCCATAGCCTCAAGTTAGTGTAATCATGTTTTACAGTCCATCCTAAGCATTCCCTTCTCCAAGCGCTGATAGTAATTTTCAATAAAACCACACAACACTCAAAACTTGTGAAATTATAGCCATTTCTTGTATAGAGGTGAAACAAGAGGATCTTTGTACCCTCGGCCTGTGAGCCCACCTCTCCCTGCGGAGGAGCGCCTGTCTATCAGTCTGCTGTGTCTGAGCCGGACTCATCGTCAGCTTGTTCTTATATTCATTAAATAACTTTTACTTCACAGCATGTGTACATTTATTTCGTTACTTACTTATTAAGAACGTTACTATTCATACAAATAATATTACTAATAACAATAATGACAATAAAACAGCAGCAGCAGCAGATACATGACTTCTTTCCATGACAGCCCCGCTGCTGCTGCTGCTGGTTCTCCTCGTCTCCTGATTGGTTGAAGCCCGGCGTCAAGCTCCAAAAGCTCAGCTTTTCTCAACTTTGGCGTCAAGGGATTTTTTGACATCGAAAGAGACGATAGCGTTACGCACGTCAAAATCTTCAAGTGACGCGTGTAATGCTTGCGTGTTTTGAAGCTTTTGACGCGCTTCACCATTCATTTTCAATGCAAACTTGACGCTTCTGAAGTCGAAGTCGAGTCTGGTGTGAACGCCCCTTTAGAGCCCCATGTCCTCAATCCAGAATTGGACCCTACTTATTTAGTTTGCAGTATATGGTGTATAACACCAGGTTTCAATATGAGTTTTTGAGTAAGTCCAGTTTCATGTTTCATGGTCAGAGGACCATACGCTGGACTCAGGAGGGAGGCTGCATTCTCTGATTCGCTGTTTTGTATTTTTTCCCCTGTTAATCACTTCCTGGAGGCGGGCTTCTCCAGCTTGTTTCACATCATTTAAATGAACTGATTGTCTTCAATGAAAGAGAAAGATTGCCTCTAACTAAAGCTTGGACATGTCTATGAAGGCCAAATAACACTGCATTAACGTTCAAGCACAGTAGAAAGCGTGATATGTGACCTTTGAACAAATGTGAAAAACTATTTCACTCTATTGTTGAACAAAATACATTTTTTATGCTATATTCATTCACATTTTCTGTCCTCCAAGGCTTCAAAAGCTCAGGAACAGTGTTGTGCCAGTTCACAGCTTTTCTGAACTAGTTCAAGTTCAGTTCATACATGCTCAAAGTTAACAGTTCACGTTCAAAGTTCACAATTAATTTTGCTTTTTTTGTGAGATATTAAATCAAATACTTTTTTTCACACTACGAGCTAGAAATCACTATAGGTATATATAATAATATATAATATATATATATTACAGAACACCGGCTCCACACGGAGTCAGGGTGCGTTCACAGATGGTGGAAACCGTGGGAATTTTTTCGGTAGAAAAAGTGCAGAAGATTCTCAAGATATGCACATTATTACATTGCCGTCTTCCTTGTAAATGTTCATTTACAGTGATGTTTGCCGTTCATGACACATAATGTGAACTAATTCACGTTCAAGTTCTTTTATTAAAAAATGTGTTGCGTTCAGTTCAACATTCCCAAAAAAAGGAGCGTGTTCACTGAACGCGTTCATTTGAACTCGTTCACGCACAACACTGCTCAGGACACTTTAAGTAAGAGTACTTAATGGACAAAACACCCTTTGTGCTGAATTGAGTTTAATGAAAACATTATGGGGTAAGGTTACTGTCAATAAAGACGTGCATGTCTAAAAAAAATGCGTGCATATTTATTGGTATTTGTGCATAAAAATATTTTATTAATTCATGATTAAGATAATACAAACTAAAAAGACATGGAATTTCATAATTCAGAATAAAGAAATATAAAACTGTATGTGTGATTTTGTACTTGTGAATGCGATTTTTTGTGTGTGTTTGCATTATGTTTTTGAGAATACGAATTTCAGCAGTGAGCAAACTGTCAATAATACGTCACTGCTCACAGACATTAACAATCGAGCCTGTGCAGAGTTGATCATGGCAGAGGGCAACAACATTATCAATTTGGCTCAAAATCAGGTAAATAACTATATTTGATCATTTTGGTCGTAAATAAATGTGTAAGAAATATTAATTTCATAAAATGTGTTCATAAGATGTTTCTTGTCCCTCTCTAGAAATTTTTTTTGAGGCAGTGTTTAGTTAACACTAGCTTCAATGCTAGTTTTACAGCTTACTATGTTATTTTAAAACCAACATTTTTACATTCTTAGCATTTACCTTTGATGAAGCCTTTGCCCCGAATCAATGTGATTAATGAGTTGATACCAGCCCCAACCCTCCAGATTATTCATATTTCACGCTGTTACTGCCCCTGAGCCATACGAAGTTCACCTCCGTGCTTTACTCATCCTTGGTTGATAGACGTAGCCGACCCTGTCCCTGTGGGCCTCAATCTTATATTTGTGAGTATATATGACACATTACTTTTACTCACTAGTTCAGTAACACTAGTTAGTCTGTTGTTTAGACTAAAATAAATGCATTATTTTCTGTAGAATAAAACAATATAAGGATAAGAAAATAAAACTAGCATTGGAGCTTACAACACTGCCAAAAAACCTTTTAGAGGGACAAGAAACATCTTCTTATGAACACATTTATGGAATTAATATTTCTTACACATTCATTTACGACCAAAATGATAAAATATAGTTATATACCTGATTTTGAGCCACGTTATTTATGTTGTTGCCCTCTGCCATGTTTAGTTTTTAGGCAATGAAGTTGATCAACTCTGCGCAGGCTCGATTGTTAATGTCTGTGAGCAGTAACGTATTATTGACAGTTTGCTCACAGCTGAAATTCGTATTCTCAAAGAAGAAAATGCAAGCACATAAAAAAATCGCATTCACAAAAACAAAATCACACATACAGTTTTATATTTTTTTATTCTTAATTACAAAATTCCATGTCTTTTTAGTTTGTATTATCTTAATCATGAATTAATAACATATTTTTATGCACAAATACCAATAAATATGCACAGATTTTTTTTTAGACATGCACGTCTTTATTGACAGTAACCTTACCCCATAAAACATCTATGGTATTTCATTCATGCTTGTTTTGGTAACCTTGTTTATGTCATTCCTCCAGCTCTGCAACAAACACATAACAAAGATTCTGTTCTAGAAGTTACAAGCTCATTCTATTCATGTTTTTGTCTGGTGCACACTGGGGACTTTTACACATGTATTCCAATGCGGTTGCACGGCAAATGACGAATAAAATTAATCTGAATTTCAGATTAATTTAGTAAGAAATACTTGTTATTGCAAACTGATAGAGTGTTTGCAAGTTGATATTAATATATGGAATTCGGTGAGTCAAATCCCCCTGCAATACCCCCATGTGCCTCTTTGGAAAACTCTGTCCTACTGATTGAATCCGGATGTGAGCTCCTTGTTGTGAGCTTTGGATCTAAGTCTGAGCCTGAGGCCATGGTCTAACACTGACACACGTTGGCTTATACTCAGGATACATCATCAGGATGCACACGGGCTCACTGCTCTGGAAGAATCTAAACTATTCAAACTTCTCTTTCTCTTTGGTCACTGAAAGACCTTCCAGGTGCAGTCCTGTCCCAGAAACACACACCTCCAGCCTGTACTGTTTTGTTATAATGCCTGGCAAATCAAAATTGCAAACAATAATTTAACAAGGTTTATTACAAAATGTACAAAAGGTAACTAGAGTGGCTGGGCTGGACTGGGCAGGGCTGGAGGCGGAGGCAGGGTAAATCAGGAGGAAGGCAGAGTCTGGACCAAAAACAAATCTCCAGGGACACAGTCGGGAGGTGGTAGAGTACACACAACATAACAACACAACCCTGACATGTTTGGAACATGCTTGGAACTTTAGGGCTGCATGAATAATCACAATCTAACACAATCTAAGACTCTTTAGGTTGAAATGTGTCACTGTCTCATTGTTCCATAACCCCATGTCTAACACGCAGTGCCTAAGTCATATTTAGATTTTGGAAAACATGTGCAAAATGTTCCCCGGTGTGCATGAAAGCAGCAAAGAAAGTACAGGAAACACTACAAATGCAATGACAGAAACACATTGATCCAAGAAGGGTACAGATGACCAATGTTCGTAATTCTTGATAAATGTTCATAAATGTTGAATGTTGAGTGTCCTGGATCATCACCACTAGAGGAAAAACTCTGCAACCCTGGGATCCGCTCCCATGTACGGTCAGGCTGTATATCTCCTGCATCTGCACCAACAATATCTTCTGCCAGAGGGAAGAAGCTGGAACATGGCTTTTCCAGGGTGGCCAGAACAGGGTGACATTGATTATTCTACGAGCTCGGTTTAAAAGTCTGGATTTATAAAGAACCTCCAGAACAGGTATAGCTCACAGTCCTCTTTGCAGAGCGGAGCACCTCTCTTTTCTTTGGCTGTGATGTCACCAAACCACAGTCACAGAACCAACAAGCAAACTCTCAATGGACCAGCGATGAAAAGTTATGAAGAAGAATGTCCTTTATTTGTCCCACGGTGGGAAATTTCAGTTTGATGAATACACATCGTGCCTTGAACATTACTTCCGCGCACCTTTATAGGCAAAGTGGGTCAAGTGTCTTTCCCAAGGACAGCAGGTGGAGAAGGTCTCGCGGCGGGCCCGAACCGACGACCTTCACGCTTAACGGCCAATACGCTGTCGCCCGGAGTCAAACCCACTCTGAGACAGTCTGCTGCTTTTCTTACTCCTCCACATCGACGTTCAGGTTTCACAGATGTTTTCCTCTGAATATGATCTGTGTGGGAGTGGGGTTGAGACACAGGCTCATGGAATCTTCACCGTGTTTACAAAACCTGTCCCTGGTATCATTATAATCTCACAAAAAAACATGAAAAAGTAAAAGCAGGTGGCACAGTGGCAGTCAGATGTTTCTGAGTGCCCACATTCACACCTGTGAGGCTGATTCCGCTAACACTTTCAAGGACATCATTCGACACCACTATTCAGATGTAAAAAGTTCATTTCGTCTTCTTATGTCGAAGGCTTACGAAGTGTTTTTAAGTTTATTTGTATGGTACAGTTTAAACACAGGGCAACTGTAAAAACAAGGCAGTAAAATCATAAATAATCACAGTACATTAAAAAGCACTGGGCACTTCACCATCAGCTGCTTGGACTGACTGTATATATTGTAATTGCTCTTTTTTTATATTCCTTTTTGAGATGGACGCATTCGATTTCAGTCTGAAAAAAAATATACAATAGTAAATGGCTTCACATAACACTAACAATAATAAAAAATAATAATGCATTTTTGTTAAAACAGATGAAACGGCACAGAGAGGAGTGAGGAGGAGAGAAGGGACAAAGAAGAGGAGAGATGGGACAGCAAGGAGGATAGAGAGCTGGAGAGAGGAGGAGAGGGGACAGTAAAGGCTGTAAAAGATTTTCAAGCACGGACCTTCTCACATAATGAAATACAATAAGCTGCTTTAACCTACATGTGAGCACGCTAACATGTAGGGAAGACCAGGTCTGGTCAGACCAGCGTCCACTTCAGTTTAGCACAAAGTTGCCCATTGCTGAGTAAAGTTGGTTTGTGGCAATATGACTATTATTATCTTAGATAATTATAGGTCTATGGGTTGTTTACTATGTATAAATATACTCTAAATAGTCTAGTTGAATGGACAAAACCCTCTCTGAATATTTTGTGTTTTAAAACTAAAAACAGTGCTATCTACTCAGCCACCAGGCTGAGCACTCTTGCCTCAGCAAGAAGGTTCTGGGTTCAAATGCCGGTCTGAGTGGAGTTTGCATGTTCTCCCTGTGTCTGCGTAGGTTTCCTCCGGGTACTCCGGTTTCCCCTACCACTAAAAACATGTGCAATCGTTCAGGGTGAATGAGTGTGTGTTTGTGAGTGCGACTGTGGGACAACGGATGCAGATTAGCCCATTGCTACAATCCAGAGTGATGTGTTCATTAACATGTACTGTCCCAACCAAATGAACAATACATTAAATAAATAAATATTCCTCAGTCTACTTTAATTCACCATCTATAAAATACTCATTTGAATCATGATCAGGTGAATATTGAACCGATTCATAGTTGGTTGAAGAAGGAGTCAGTGAGGGGCTGGTTCTATGAGCATTGGGTGTAGCTCTGATTACCAACCCCCTCCTCCAACGCAGAGGATAATGAATGTTTTGTAGAATGTTATGTTTAGCCATCTTAAAATATTGCATGTACAATAAAGAAATTCAAGTTGCCCAAACTTAAAAAAGCAATCAGTTGAAGACAATTTTACTTGAGTTGATACACCATAAAAAGACCAATGGAGAGGGTTGCCTCAATTTTTTCTTGTTGGGTCAACTCATTACTTTTTAGAGTGTAGGTGTGTTTGTGGCTCCACACACACACTGCAGCTGGTGTAGTGCTCGTGAGACGCCGCTCGCAAGTCCGTGGCAAGACCGAGTGCACGATGTGCAGGGTGCTGTTGGTCCGAGCCCTGTTCTTTATCAAACGCAGCTTCAGACTTCTGTGTCGGGCGCTTTACCCGCACTCGCGGACACTGTACCTCATGGTCACAGACAGAAAACTTTCGAATCTGACTTTTTCTATTTAGAGAATGAAGCTTGCGCAGATCCACCGTGGTCCATAGACTGTTGAAATATGCGCCCGTGGCGTTTGTGGCTGAGGCACAGGACGCTGGATTTTCATTGTCTGTGCGCTGAGACCCTAAAAGCACTGCGCAATTGCGCACGCGCGCAGCTTAGAGGGAACATTGCCTTCAATCAGAACCAACTTGCACTTCACTGAATCTAAAGTTCAGTATTTAATTACACTTATCTGATCTTGTAAGATTAACCAATTGCCAATCAGTGAAAATTATTTATTGGATTTGTAAAGCATCAAACTGTCAAAGAAAAGTTCTGTAAAACTTTAAGGCACAGTCTTTTTTTTTCCTGATCGGGTAAACAATATACCTCCATTTATTTGCTGAGCTGTGTATTCACCCACACATGTCTGTTTCTCTGATTGGGGGAATTTCTGTCCAAACAACAGAGTTAACGAGTTTACCCGGTTCTGCGTTTGTAATGAATGTCCAGCTCTCACTTTGGGAGAATGTGAGAAGAGAGAAAGCATCGGCTGTGGGCTGAGAGCGAATCTGCTTTTGTTAATGAAAGCAGAATTTACTAGGAGATTTCTTCGATCATTTTCGCCAAAGTTTCGAATTCATATAATTATTTAGATTGCCCATATCATTGAAATGTTAAATTCTATTCAAGGTGTTGGAATAATAAGATAGGGTTCAATTTATTTCTTGTATTTAACGTTAAACATTCTTTCGCCAATGGAATGCAAATTAAGACGGTTCAAAATGTAGTTTTATAACATACTTATCTTTAAGCCTCTCCTCTCTGTCTCCTTCACCTTCAGACCCTCTCCTCTCTCACTACTGTCTCTTTACCTTCAGACCCTCTCCTCTCACTACTGTCTCCTTCACCTTCAGACCCTCTCCTCTCTCACTACTGTCTCCTTCACCTTCAGACCCTCTCCTCTCTCACTACTGTCTCCTTTACCTTCAGACCCTCTCCTCTCTCACTACTGTCTCCTTCACCTTCAGACCCTCTCCTCTCTCACTACTGTCTCCTTCACCTTCAGACCCTCTCCTCTCACTACTGTCTCCTTCACCTTCAGACCCTCTCCTCTCTCACTACTGTCTCCTTCACCTTCAGACCCTCTCCTCTCTCACTACTGTCTCCTTCACCTTCAGACCCTCTCCTCTCACTACTGTCTCCTTCACCTTCAGACCCTCTCCTCTCTCACTACTGTCTCCTTCACCTTCAGACCCTCTCCTCTCTCACTACTGTCTCCTTCACCTTCAGACCCTCTCCTCTCACTACTGTCTCCTTCACCTTCAGACCCTCTCCTCTCTCACTACTCTCTCCTTCACCTTCAGACCCTCTCCTCTCTCACTACTGTCTCCTTCACCTTCAGACCCTCTCATCTCTCACTACTCTCCCCTTCACCTTCAGACCCTCTCATCTCTCACTACTCTCCCCTTCACCTTCAGACCCTCTCCTCTCTCACTACCATCACCTTTCTCAATTATTTTCTGCCAGCTCCCCCTCAGGAAGAAGAAAACAATTTGAGCCATTCTCAAACATTCACAAATGGATCTCAAAATAAATGACATGGGAAAACAACAAAACCAAAAAGCTGTAAAAAGTCACTTTGTGTGTCTTTAAGTTTCTGCTTTATGGAGCATGTGTTTGAAATTTGGAGATTAAAGGTCCCATATCCCATTTGGTTGCCGCGGTTCACTCAGGCCCAAACTTAAGCCTGTTTGGATCAAGACGTGTGCTTTGAACAGCCCTCTAATGGAGAGCCATCACCGCACTTTTGTCAGCGCAGGTGTAGGCTTTAAATATAGTATGTGCTTATGAAGACAATGCATTCACTCCAGGGACGATGCACTGGAACTGGCTCATTAAACAGAGCAAACAGTGAGTGTGTTTGAACTGGGTAATGCACTCTGCTGCTAATGTCAGCCTCAAAATGTTTTTTGTAGGGATTTGTATGGCACTGAAGGAATAAAAAACTAAACTGGCTAAAAGCTTTCTAATCTACAGACTGATCACCTGATAATCCCTTCGCCCACATGTGCATTGTGGAAGAAGAAATGCTGAAATAAAATAAAGTATTAGGTGTGTTAAAATAGCTAAAGCTAAGCTGAATAGGGTCTGGTTAGTACCATGATGGGAGACCTCTGTGAACGCCAGGTACCACAGTGGGGCGGCTCTAAAGTGCCAAACTGTCCTTATTGCTTAGGAGGAGTCTGGGGTGTGGGTGAATGGTTGGTGGTGGTCAGAAGAGCCGAAGGCACGGATTGGTTGCCTCTGTTTGTGTGCCCCAGGACAGCTGTGGCTACAGTAAGAGTTTATCACACCATCGTGTTTGAGTGATACAATAATGACATGTGAAGCGCCTTTGAGTGTATAGAAAAGCGTGATATAAAACTGATGCATAATTTTTATTATTATTATAACAAAAGGTCAAATTCAAGGTCTTAATTCAACAACCAACATGCAGTATTTGTGTTTATCTTAACTGCCTTCCATGTCTTCCATGTCACCTGTTTTGTCTTTAATTATTTTTTGGTAGGTTCTTCCGCGCATGAGTTAAGTTGTGCTGCACCAAAGGGAAGGAATCAACAGATTAGGGTTAATTTAGGGTTAAGTGTCTTGCGCAAGGACACAGTAACAGAAGACATGAGTGGGAGCAGTTGGAGTAGGTCTCGAGGAGGGAACAAACCCACAACCTTCAGGCCCAACTGAGCCACTGTCACCCCATGCTTTACACATAAGAAGACAAGACAGGCGGCACTGTGGCTGAGTGGATAGCACTCTCGCTTCTCAGCAAGAAGGTCCTGGGTTCATATCCCGATCAGAACAGAGCATTTCTGAGTGGAGATTGCATGTTCTCCCTGTGTCTGTCTAAGTTTCCTCCGGGTGTTCTAATTTCCCCTACTTTTTTTTCTAGGGCTGTCAAAATTATTGTGTTAACGCACGTTAATTAATTTGTTTCATTAATCGCGTAAAAAAAAAAATAACGCATGTGCCGAATGACCCGCCCATGCATCCCATAACAACACTCAGAAGTGACGCGGACACATGTGTGTGAGATGGCGACAGAGCAGGTAAATCAAATCAAATCAAATCAAATTTTATTTATGAAGCGCTTTTCATACAAAAGATGCAACACAAAGTGCTTTACAGTTTGGTTAAAAACAATCCCGCCGGCCCATGCCCCAGGCCCCCACCAGGTCCAAGAGACCGACCCCCATAGCCACACCGACCACCGCTCCCAGTGCAGAGGGCTCCTACAGAGGAAACACTGGGTACACTAAAAACAATACAATAACAATACAATATGTAAAACACAAAAATGTGAAACTAAAATGAACTAACACACAATACATGAATAAAAGCAATAGCAATACAATAAATAATAGAAGATAAATAGAATATATAAAATGAAATAGTAAAAACTAATCAAAAGCTAATCTAAAAAGGTGTGTCTTGAGCCTGAAAGATAAGAAGGCCCAAGACCATTAAGACATTTAAAAACCATTAGGTAGGCATTAGTTAGCATTAGCACAACTTCTTACAAGCTGGAAAGCAGTCACTGATAAAAATGGTACAACAGCAACGTACTGGTAACAAAATATACAGTACAACAACTGAAAGATCACCGCTAGTTTTGTGTCCAAAGTTAGTCCAAGGATACGATGATCATCCGGGATTGATTTCTTCTTTTATAATTATACTGCTTTAGTTCCCTCTTCTCCTCCTCACTTTTCCATCTTTTGGACTGTTTTACTGCTGTGTCTGCAGTTAGAGCCAGAGGAGGTATAGCCACCTTCTCCTACCATGCTGCTGTTGTGTACATGAGCTGCAGACACTAGAGGAGGCGTGGCCTAGGAAAACGAGGGCCACTCAAAGTTTCTACTCAGCACTTTTCTGTAAATATTCATACACAAGCTGAATCAATGCGCTCAATTCTTCAACTCAATTACGGGTTTTAATACTTTTAATACAACTTTAAAAAATACTACAGAAAATGTTTATAATGTTAATGCCGTTTTATGTGGCTTTATTGTTAGAATAAACAAATACAGTACATACGTACACTATGTTGTCATATATTTTTCCATTTAAACAACCATTTACAGAAGAATATGGCATATTTTTGCCGTTAGTTCGAAATGTGATTAATTACGATTAATTAATTTTTAAACTGTAATTACCTGAAAATTTAAATCTTTTGACAGCCCTACTTTTTAAACATAAAAACAAATATTCATATACACAGAGAGTAAGTCAGAGGCACTCGGATGCGGTGCGTTTCAATGTGCTGTTTTCATCAGGGCTTGTAAAGAATCCCCTGGTATGTTCTTTACAAGACCTGATCAAAACAGACCGTTGAAACGTGTTTGTGAATAAAAAACAGAATTCTCTAAGGTACCTTATTTGCCCCTCCAGAAGAGCACCGGTGTCTAACGACTTTTGAGCCTCTGAGCACTCTTGGCCTCTCCTTCTAATTCATATGCACATGTTTGGAAATGATGCAAAAGCTCCAACTCCCTAAAAGTGTGACCTGAGTGAAAAACTGGCTGCATAGTAATAATGTATTGGTTTTATAATTTTAGGACCCTCATATATGCTTCACATGGTATTATTCTTTCAGTCCAGACACGGTGGGGATAAAATAACTACTGTGGCCAAAGCTGTCCCGGGGCACACTGACAGAAGAGAGACAACCAGTATGTGCCATCAGCCCCTACCACCACCAGCCTGGTGTTCCTAGAGGTGTTCCGAGAGGTCTCCCATCATTTTACTCACCAGGCCCTGCCCTGCTTAGCTTTAGAAGTCTGACAGGATCTGGCTTCATATCCTTCCTAGTCCTCCTTAGATTCGTTTTAGTGCCATCTAGCGTTGAGATCTTATATTGCAGTCCAAGGTACTACAGAAGCCTTTGAGTAGACGCTCAGTCATTCACCGACTGCCAAGGAGAGAATCCTTTAGTTTGTTAAATGACCGGATCTCTCCAAACGTCTCGGCCACTTGACAGTCGCGTGGAGGCGACAGGTAAACAAGAATGCGTTCTGAAGCGGCACCCGCTGCACAGAGGCTCTACTGAGTTTTAACATGGATATATTATAATACATAGTTTTACAAACGCTGTGGGAAGAGAAGAGACTCATGGGGGACTCACATCTGTGGGAGCTTAAATCCACGATGATCAGAGAGGCAGGACATATACACAGCCGAGGCAGAACATGGCTAAAAGCTCATCAGCGTTATTAGCGTTAGCCACAGCGCCGTAGCCGCATCACCAGGTAAGAAAGCAAAACATTCACTCACGCCGTTGAGGAATGTTCTTGCGGGAATTCTGTGTGTTTTTTTGGGGGGCTTTGTCCCTGAATAAGTTTAGTTGAAACTTGTGACAGTAATTGTTGGATCAGGTCAGAACATTCTGAGACTTTGTTGCAGATTCTGCCTCATTCTCACCACCGTCAGTTTGAAGAAGGGACTGTGTGTGAAAAAAGTTACATATTGTTTCCATGAGAGTCTGTTGTCTAAAAACTACAGCAATGTGCCTCCTGTTGTTGTAACTATGCCTTTCGGTGCGTGTGGTTTGCAATGTTGACAGTTTGCTGATAGAATGTTGGACTTTTGCATAATTTTTCTAAAAGATTGTTGTTCGGGTATGTTCTCTTACATAACTGTGGTCCTCCATGGTTCTTTTACATAACGAGGTCCTCCTGAGGTCCCCCCAGCTCTGCTAGGGTAAGGGAGGTAACACAAAAAACAAGATGTTAAATGGCAAAGCAAGTATTTTAATAACAGGGATATAAATAATAAGTAGTAGTAAGTGAGCAATCAAAAGGACACAATACATGACATAAAGGGGTAACTCAACATTACCAAACAAAACCTAGTCTAAACCTTCACATTGATACACACAGAAATTAAACTGAAACACAAAAATAAAACCTCAAGTGACAACTAAAGAACTAAAGAAGACTAAAGAAGAGATGTACGAATCCATAAGAATATTGTCTATTAAGTCATCGTCATAACCAGAGGGGGCGGGTCCCGGCTCAAAAATGTCCAAAATGATGTGCACTGACATGCTTGCAATACCACCCTGGGCCGATGGGGGTGGACCCGGAATAAGAATTATTCTATGCTAATGGGTTTTAAAAAAACAGGTTTACAGGATGGTCCAAAAGTCTGCTCTTGGCCCAAAGCTCCGTTCCACATGTGTGTCAATGCTGTATTTTTTTGGACCAGTTAGTTTTGACGATTTTGAGGGCACTCGTCAAATGAACAAGGCTCGTGCCAGGTGACGCATGCGCAAATGCGTTTTTTCACATTGTCCAGCCCACACGGCCATTTTGAAACTGCCCATAGACGGCCAAAGCGATGGCACATTAGTTTCAACGGCGGAGATAGTCGTGACTACATCTGTTAATACTTACAGTCTTTGGTCAAGACAGACATTTGGCTACAATGGCATACCAGCCACACACAGAGGCTGACAGCCCTGAACAGGTCTGAGCGTGGCCCTTAGTGGAGTGTCTCCAGGTGGGGACGCTGAATTGCCAGGTGCACTGCTGCTCCTCCAGTCAGCACCTGAGTCACAGACTTCTGGGAGGCGGGAGGGCCAGTGGTTCTCCAATCACAGGCCAGGGATCTCGAGACAGGAGGGGTTGCCACACACACTCACAAAACACATTTTGGCGGCTGTCAACCCTGCCAAGAATACTGTACTGTATATGTGGTTAAACTTTTCTCATAAAATATTTGAACGGATTGACTTGGCTTGAATTTCATTAATTACACATGTATACACATACACATGCATACACACACGCACATACACATGCATACACGCACATACACATGTATACACATACACACATTCACATACACGCATATACACATACGCACACATTCACCTACACACGTCACACGCATATACACATACATACACACACACACACAAATACACATACAAACACTCACACATGCATACACGTATACACACACACACACACACACACATACACATGCATACACACAGACTCTCACCCTTCTGGTCATAAATGAGCTAACTTCTCATACAAAAGCACTACTGTTTCTTCCTGTCTGTGGGCTCTAAAGTAAGTCAGGTGGATATGAAGTCGATTGACCAGAGTGATTATTTCAGGTTTGACTGCTGCCCACCGGTCTTACTGTAAAACATAAACTTGTAGTATTAATCTGACGACCAAATATTCTCTCTGGACTGTTCAGATGGATGTTTGGAAAACGTTTTTTCTTCCATCGCCTACTAACGGTCTCAGGGATTTGCTCAGAAAAAAGATGGAAGGTGCTTTTTAAGGACTTGGGATGTAGCCATGTACACTGTGCACGGCCTCTTGGACAGCTATCAATCACGCACGGCCTCTTGGGTGATTGACAGCTGCCCCGCCTGCAGACCACTGTAGGATTATCTTCTGAATTATGAAGTGGATGAAAGAGAGGAGCTCCATACATACAGAGAGAAGTGAAGGTGTGTGTGTGTGTGTGCATACATGAATTCATGCAAAGGGGGGCTGTGTGGACATAGCAAAGGGTTTGGAGTAGATGTTGGTAAAACAACTGGATAACAGTAAATAATGATATTTAGTCTGGGAACTACCGTTCATTTAGGACTCTCCACAGCTGTTTATTGGACTATGGACTGTCTCTTATTTAATCAATCAATCAATCACATTTTATTTTTAAAGCACTTTTCATACAGAAAATGCAACACAATGTGCTTTACAGTTTAGTTAAAAACAATCCCATATGCCCATGCCTCCGCCTCCCAATCAACAAACAGACCCAAACCAAATCAGAATCTGAATTTGTATTGGCATTTAAGTAATAAGAAGTCACAGACTAGGAAATTGCTTTGGCTAAGTGCAACAGTCAGAAAAGAGAGGTAAAGAATAGAGTAAGGCCTAATAAAAATCACCATACACTTCAAAGGAATGCAATTTAAGATAGAATTACAATTACTATATACAATATACAAGTACACATTGTGCACACAATATGCAGTAAGCAGTGCAATAAGATGACAGCAGTAAAGTGACCTTATGATGGGCAGTAAAGTGACTTTATACAGGGGCAGTAAAGTGACTTTATAAAGGGCAGTAAAGTGACTTTATAAAGGGCAGTAAAGTAAATTTATAAAGGGCAGTAAAGTGAATTTATAAAGGGCAGGGCAGTACAGTGACTTTACTGTAAGAACAAGCTGATGCTGAGTCTGGCTCAGACACAGCAGACTAATACAGGCGCTCCTCCGCAGGAATCCAGTGCCTGTAGCTAGTGTCCAGGCGGGTGATGCGAGTTCCAGGCGGGCGATGCGAGCTCAGGGCGGGCGATGCGAGGTGTGGATACTCAAACTGGGCGAGTGACATGTGGAAGTACCGCTGAAAGTGAAACTCATCCGTACGCAGCTCCTGGAGTAAATGGTGAAACTCAGCACACACTGCAGCCTCTCAAGTCTGTGTGAACCCTGAACACGTTTTGTAGAAGCCCTACGACAACGTTGTTTGGCTTTAATGAATAAAGGCTCGCTGCTCTCTGGAAATCCACCGTTGTCTCTGGACTACACCTGCAACAGAGAAGCTCCTCCCATCGGGTGCCAGGCGCGTCAGGAGTGCCAAGCACCAATATGACAAAAAGTGTCAGACAACGCGAGTCACAGGAGTTTTGAAGCTTTTGGTGTGAACACAGCTTAACAATTGGCTGTTCCAGCCCCCACTCAGGCGCCAAATTAATTTGGTCAAACTTTACCCAATACAAACTTGTTACACCTCATGTTAGAGATCCAGATCTGGTCCATTACAATCCACATATCTGTTATTGATATCCGACCAAAACCAGCCCTCAGTGACCATGAAGACTGGGTCTGTTGGGTGGTTGGGAGGAGGGGTCATAGGCATGTGGGTTTGTTTTTAACCAAACTCTAAAGCACATTGTGTTGCATTTTCTGTATGAAAAGCGCTTTATGATTAACATTTGATGGATTGAATGATCAGATTTTTTGTCCTCTGGCCTGTACTGTTCTCTACACTTCTCCGTAGACATCACTGGGGCAGCAGCAGGCTCTCACTGCACTTGCAGGGTGTAGGGGATGTAAAATTTAAGATGATACATGCTTTGGTGTCAGACTGAGATTATCAATCAATCAATCAATCAATCTTTATTTATAGGGCGCTTTTCCTGCACAGGGCAACACAAAGCGCCTCACAGTCCACACCACACAATGCACAAATCATCACCATTAAAATACAATTAAAAAAGTTTATTATGTGTTTTCTTTGATTATTTATTATAAAACAATGGCTAAAACTGGCTGATTACTCAGTAATCCTCTGAGTAGAATCTGTATCGGCTCTTATCTAAATATCCTTCACCCTGTGGTCTTTTGTCAGGTCACTGCAGAGGAACCATCTGGTCAAACTGAAAGCCAACACATTTGTGAAGCTCCAGAGCCTGCGGAAACTGTAAGTAAAGTATTTCAAAGTATATGATAAAAACTAATGTAACACTGCTATCATACTGTTTTACTATCAAATGCATTCTTCATCCCCAGATAGTTTGTAATTTGCATAATAATTCAAGAGTTTGCTGTATTCAGGCCCCTCCCTGTCGCTGAACGATGTGTGAATCTGTCTCCTGCAGAGGACCGCAGGAGCTTAACACACAGTATGTTTAGGCTTTGATTTATTCAGTAAATAGAAATGCCTCTTATAAACCAAAATAATAAACTTAAAACGTTTTGTAGTTAAATAATCAAAATTCCTTTGAAGTAAATTAATCATTGAAATTAATTGCATCTATATTTGAACTGAAAATAAGTATTTTTTCACATTGGTTTTTCAGTTTACCATTGAGTAATGACTGAATACAGACGCTTAAGCAACAATGTGTAGGTTAACCTTTGCCATTAAGTACGTCGAGTGCAATTCAGTAAGACAGGCCATATTACTTAATGGTTTGGACCATTTTCCTCTCCGCTACGGTCAGAACCTGTGCAAAACCATGAACTCTGTACTGCATCAACATCTCAGGCACAAACGATTATGTTTAGCATTGAGGTGATACTCAATGTTTGGGGTTGATATGCGAGCACAATCGTTTTCTTATCAACGCTTCCATCCATTCATTCGTAAAGCAACATTTCCCATCCACAGGCGAACTAATGCTGTCAGCTTATTTGTTTGTTGTTGTCCATAGTTATTTCTTTGGCATAATTGATGCCTCAAAAGTCAACCCAATGACAAACGTTCCGTGAGTGTGAAATGATGTTAAACATGTATAATGGATATTAAAAGGATCCAGGTAATGAAACACCTATTGAAATCAAATATTCAATTAAACTGTAGCCAAAAAAAAGGTATTATAAAATGATTGAAATAAACAAATAAAAATGTAGTAAAAAAATATTAAAATTAACTAATAAATATGTAGTATAAAACATTAAAACAAACTGTAATAAAAACATTATACTAAAAAACAATTCAAATAAACTCATGTAAGATAAGATTTTTTATCAAACTAACGCAATTAAAAATGGATTACAATTAAAAAAATCTACACATTGCTACATGTCCCTGCACCAAAAACAAATAAAATCCTCTAGCCCTTCCTCCCATGACACGCAGACCCAGTGGAACCAACCGTGGCAGGTGTCACACTGGACCCATGGCACCGTCTTTCCCTGGCCAGGTGGATCCACCTTCCTGCACTTTCCACATCCTCTTCTGGCTCTTTTGCCGGGGGAGCTGTAAAAATGGTGAATCGTTAAAAACATCATAATTATTAAGACTAAATTAATTTGACAAACAAACACTAAATGACATTGATGGTGTTTAAGACTAGTTTCAGTAGTGTCAGGTTGTGGGGAGGTAGTGCAGAATATGCAAATGTTTTTAAACACTGGGAGGAATTCCACTCAACGTGCATCTGAGACAATGACTATTGTATGCCTATGCACACACACAGACTGTCTCAGTTTTATATCTTTGAAATATGCCTCCAATGGCCTATTCTTTGTTATTACCAACAGATGCCATGGCCCCAGTGAAGGAAGGTATAGAGGACGGCTGGAAAAAATGCATATATTAGCCATTCTTTTATTTGATATAAGCATAATAAACAGATATAAATGATGTGTAAACAGATGTGGTGGAGGTCCACACGGCACGATCCGGGACTAGTCAATAGCCCCCGGATCCAGGGGTAGAGGCCACACCTTCTGAGACCACCAACCACCACGCCTGTATCCCTCACCCTTAGATATGAGGTTTTTAGGACCCTTGACAACTCAGTTTTTGGAAAGGGTAAAGGAGTGGCTCCCAGCCGACAGATCCCACATCCAAGGGCTGAAGGATATGAGACGTGTGCGGTGGCAGGCACAAAAGGATGACCCCTGCCCCCTGTGCTGCGTGGATCAGCTCTGGGCCGAGGTGGGATGCATGGCCGTCCATGCAGCAGCAGCGAGCACTCCTAGGTGTAAGGGCCCCCCCGGCTATATGGGGGATATCCTCCCCAGCCGCATTTAACAGGCCAGGACTGTGATGTGCTTCCTGGTGCCTGGAGCCTGTCTGTATGTGTGCTTTATATCCCGGGGCACAACCACTTTCCTCCTTTGGCTGTCCAGCTGAAACCCCGTCTCGTTGCAGTTGTAGATGCAATGGGGTTTCTCTCTCAGCCCCTATCTGTCCGTCGTTGAGGCCAGTAGATGGAAGTAGTCCTCGACAGCCCCCTCTTTGCGCAGGATGCTCTCCCACGGTCAATGATGTCTGGGTTCCTGGTGAGCCGTTGTTTTTGTCTCTCTCTGAAGTTGATCCACGTCTGGCTCAGTGCCACCTTTGGTGTTTGCAGTTGAATATTGCCAGAGAGTGGGTCACCACCCGTGCCTTTGTCAGTGGGAATCCAAAGCTGGCGGCGTACAGGCAGTAGTGTGTTGTATTTTTATTACACGTATGCTCGGCATCTATGGAGAAGAAATACATATTTATAGAATACTAAATTGCATATTGTATTTTATTGATTGTAACATATTGTACATCAATTGTATAAGTATAATGTGTTCTAATCAGTTTATGGGTAGCATCCATAAACTGATGTTTTAACGTGTTTCTGAAACCCCGGATCTGCAAACAGACTCCTCAGGTGACCTTATCAGTCAACTGACTTGATAATAGCCTCTATCTCGGTCTTTCCCTTTGCTAATCTCTTTTATTTATATCTCCTTGATCTATCCTTCAATACACAAAAAGACATAAACATAAAGCAATGCAATACTATTAATAAATACTCAAACATAAACTTGTTCTATGATCTGGGAACTGATGTTAAGCTATATTTTGTTACTCCAGGAGGGCTGTCTTTTGCAGTAATGTTGGGTAAAAACATGTTTTAATAGGAATTAATTTATAAGATGTGCACTTAACTAACCATTACTGGCACCCATAAACGGATGTTTTAACGTGTTTCTGAAACCCCAGATCTGCCAAGACTCCTCAGGTTAGATTTTCAGGGCAAGCAGGATTAAAACTAACCTGGCAAGAGCCAGATTGATGATTGTGTAGAACTCTAACGCGTTCTCCGCGATATCAATCTGGGATTTCTCCCGGAGAATCCTTTCGGGGAAAGGAGGGGTAAGCAGCAGAATACTTGAAGCTGATTGGGCGAAGTGACGCTGTGTGCCCGCCTACCAAGGTTGCCGTCCAGAAATGTACAAAGCGCCTCTCGCTGTTCATCTTTCAAAAAAGAAATTGGAGAATCTGCTAAAACTGACTTTGCGTCCGTCCTCCTGCGTAGCCATGTTTGTTTTGCTTCGGCCCGGCACTTCTTGCTTTCGTCAAACCCGGATATCCCGCCCTAAACCCCCAGACCCGCGCGTGATTGGCTCGCACACCCAGTGGTTCGACTCGAAAAGTGTAAGCGGGAGCGGTACAAGATGTATTCCAAGCCCCGGCGATCCAAGATGGCGCCCTATTCAAATGAATGGTTGTGCTCAGTGGCGCTTTGTGACAGCATGGGGGCTGAAAGATTAGCAGAAGTTGCCTGAAACTCTCAAAGATCTATGGGAAACTCGCCTGTATTTGGGCATCGTCTGGTCCTCCCGGTTCTGCGCGGTGGATGATCTCCCATAATGCGTTGCGCCAAACACGCGTGTGTGGGTCTCACACCGGGTCTCACGCACGTGCACAGAGGGGCTCGGCCGCGCTCTGACCAATCAGAGCAGTTCATCAGAGCGGGAGTTAGAGCGAGAGCCAGAGGAGCAGAGTTTGTGGCACTAAAGTGTGGATTTAAACAAAACCGAAGGATTTAAGAAGAAAAAAAGTTCAGGATGACAAGGGACACTAAAATCCCCACAAAATCCGATCTTTATGAAAGCTGTAGGTTCTCTGTCAGCTGAGGTTGAGCTGTTTTAATATGCATTGAGTTCTATGGGGAAAATTTCTGGGTAGCCCACGTGAATTTAGTCTGGTTCAGTCTGCAGTACCGCGAGAATCCCCTGAGCACATGGGTTATTCAGCTACAAGCTAGTAATACCCTATCCAGTTATTATAATAGATCCATGATGTATTCTCGAGTGTTTGTGAACTCACAAATACCGCGAGAATTCAGCTTGCAGGCAAGGTTAGATTAAAACTGTAAATACTTAATTATTTGGCTAATTTTCCACTTGTGTATGACTAATAACATGTATTCACAACAGTTGATCTACCAATATGACCGTTAAAAAAACAGACAAATTTGGCCTGTTAATTCGTAAAACAGGGTGAAAATGAGAGCCCTCCTGCAGTCAGAGCGTCTAAGCACTTCATGCACGCATTTCCGTTAAAAGCAACTTGATAACATTATTACTCAATGAAATTAGCACATTCATGAACAAATGTTTGCAGAAAGCAGAGTTAGCCTGGCCTTAGCCATCCTTACACGCTCAATTATCATTTCCCTGCATGTAACGTCTGGGTCTGGTCCCTGTGTTTGCGATTACAATCGGTTGAAATCCATCCGACCAATCAGCGAGCGCGGGAGGCAGGTGTTGTAGTTAGTTGTGGGTGACGTCAAGAGTTTGCGTCGAACGGGCAGGTTGTAGTTTGGCAATGGCGAAGAATGAGATAGTAAAGTAATCCAGTCTGGTTCTATCAAGAAATGGAAGCAAGAGCAAGAGGAATGTTTGGCAAATGCAATCGCTGGCAAATTGTGGCTCTACTCCCCACGGGCTCTGTAGTCTGATGGCTAGGCTAAATGCTAACCAAACCACCGGAACAAGCTGCCCCCTGCATCACTGACTTTGGCCTTTTTAAATCCAGACTTAAGACATATTTATTCAGACTGGCTTTTAATACTCAGTAGCACAGCAACACTTTAGCTTCTCATGGTTTTATCTGACTGTTTTATACTTTGATTGTATGAATGTTTTTAACAGATTTTATGTGATTTTATTGTAAAGCACTTTGGTCGCCTTGTGTGTTGTAAATACTCTATAAAGGGCTCTATAAATAAAATTTGATTGATTGATTGAACGACCCACTCGGGCGCATTACATAAACGGTAAACTCTGATCCAATTTTCAATTTTCCGTTCCAATGTCCAAAAGCAGTTAACCCCTCCCACCTGTAAACGGAGCTCAACGGAGCGCATTGGCTATAGAGTTGTTGTGGGTGATGCTCTAACAGAGGAAATGTTTTTCCTGCACGTTCTGGAGACAGCTGTCTTCCATCAGATGTCCCGCGGCATTCTTTAAAAATCCAAAATATGCCACACTTCAGACTTTGTCTTCTTTGAGGCTGATAAATGTCCTAAGGGCTGTTGTCTCTGCCTTTGGTCATGATTCCTACATGAAAGTACACCCACACGGCAACTTCAGCAGACTCAGAACCTTCACTGGAGACATTTCATTATTTAAATTTATAATATTTCAATAATGTTTCCTGCCCTTGCCTCACATAAAAAAATGAAACCAAAACAATGAAACATTTGCAGAGACACTGTGCTTCACCACAAATACTTACATTTCCACATGTGGAAGGTTGTTTCCCTTATAGAAGCTCTGCATTACGTGTCCACAGGAAAATCTGTGGCTAGAGATGAATAAAGCAGAGTTAATAATAATAATAATAATAATACATTTTATTTGTGGGCGCATTTCAAAATTCCCAGGGTCACCTTACAGGCAGCATAAAAACAGTATAAGTTGGACCACACTGTGCAGTATTTACACAGCTACTGTAGTGAATAAAACAGTTGCACGTCCCAGTCCTCCGCTGAGCCATTATGGATACATTTACGCTGCATAGCTTTGATCCCGAGGCCCGTGGACTCAGCAGGAGGCTGCAAACACTGCTTTTAAGTCACAAATAGTAAAAATAATGGATGTTTTCTTAAAGCTTTTTTACTGTTGCAAGCTGGTTGCTTATTCTTTGATTTACCACAATCTTCACTCTTTATGTGAGTTCTTGACATAGTTCAGTCCAGGACATGTTTTATTAAGATGACCGTCTGTTACTTATCTTTCAGATGTTGCTGTTGTTTAGGTTTCAAACTTTGCTGGTTGTAAAATGGTGACATCACACATGGCTTTTCACTGCAAACCCTCCTGTAGTGCAAATACGTGAAACATATTTGTAGATTCAACATAGTCTGCATCTACCTGTGATGTCAAAACACAATTTCTTGTTTCCTCTTAGAAAAAAATGGTTAAACTGTTATGTAAAGTATTCTTTGTTGTTCTGCGTTTGACTCGTCCTGCACTAGAGCCTCTGTCAGGAGCCGTGGACCCATTTCCAGATGATGAAGCTTCTGGACTTTAGCTGGATACTGCAGCCATGTTTTTCAGTGGTTGAGGAAACCGGAGCACCTGGAGGGAACCTACATAGAACATGCAAACTACGCTAAGAAAGAACCCAGGTCCTCCACTGCGCCATCATGTGGACAAATGAATAACACTCCACAATAAACGTTGGGGTCTGAACATGGTAGTGTTCCAAATGAACGCTTCATGAACTATTTGAGGCTTTCAGTCGATGGTGTTGATAAACAAAAAAAAATATGAAGCAGTATGATTCAGTTTTCCAAAAAAAGTGTTTGTATTGAAGAAAAAAAATGCCTTATGGTGGATTCACAAAACAGAAAAAGTAATACATTAAATATATCAAAAGGAATACAGTAGGATTTTCCCAAATTTTCGGAAAGAACCGCCCTCTCCACGTTTTGAACAAAACTCTCTGGTCTTATTGGACGATCACGTATCACCAGGACAATTGGACGGACCAATCGTCTTGATGATCCACCCAGAAGTAGAAAATCCTACTATATACCTTTAACTTAGCCAATACAACAATTAATTTGCACAGATTCGAATCTGATATCTCCCACATCAAAGTCCAACATTTACTTACTTAAAATAAAAAAACAACTTGGATATATGATTTATTTTAGCGAGACATTTTAAATTGTAGTTCATAGGAAAATTAGCTTAGATTCCTGTGGCAGCACTGATTGCCAACGCCCCCAACCCAGAAATGGATTAAGGGGTTGAAAACACATCACTACAGAATTCTCTCCAGCAGGTGTCGCTCTAGACGTCTGCTTTGATCAGCCTTAACGTCCTAAGTCCTGATGGGACAGAGCGGCTCGGCACAAAGCAGCAGATTGTGGACATAAGTGATCGTTGTTAGCTGATCCATTCTCCATATGCAGACCCACGCTGGCTTTGATCCCCCACCAGGCTCTAAGACGGAAACAATACGTCCACACCAATATTTGTGCACGCACACGCCATGCACACGACAGAGATTCTACACAGCCAGACTGTTTGCAAAAGCCGTTTTCTTTCTAAACAGAGGGTGTACTTTGCTTTATGGTAATATGTCTCTGGCTTCTGTCTCTTCTGCAGATATCTCCAACACAACAGGATTCAAGACGTAAACCCGGACGCCTTCAGAGGGCTCTACAATCTGACCAGGCTGTAAGTCCACAACAAAACACAATTTTAAAAAAAAACATCACACTTTGCAACCACATCCAAATCCGAGGCAACGCAAAGGATAAAATGGAATGGGAGACAATACAAAATACCAGCATGCAATTGGAATGTACTCCGGTGCTATGTCACTTCATGTCCTTTAGATTTATGCAGCTAAAATTTGGAATAGTCTTCCTGAAAATGTGAGACAGGCTTCCCTAACAATGTTCAAATCCAGGTTAAAAAAAAGAGTTCCATTTAGCTTTGCAACTGAGGGATTATATTGTCACTCTTTTTAATGAACTGTGATTATTTATGATTTTAATGATTCGTGTGATTGTTTTGTTCTTGTTTTGTTTAGCACTGTGAATAGTCTTGTGTATGAACTGTGCTATACTAAAAACTTGCCTTCTCAGAAGCTCCATTATTCTGTTCCAGGTTTTCTAATTTATTTTCTACCAGGCCCCCCTTAGGGGTTTTTTGCCCTAAAAAACTTTAGGGCAAAACACATTATGCATTATAAATGCAAAGGGAAAAAAATATAGGTACCCAGCTTTAATTTAGTGAGTATTAGTTTCAGTGCTTCAGGAGGAGACACGGGGAAGACGTGGACACTTCCTGAGGCTTAATAATCCAGCTCGCTTTTTATCGTATTGTGTATTTATGGCACGCGCAGGTTGTGCTGGGTACATTATGGACGCGCTGCAGCCACAATTGCCCCGGGGTGCGACAACGCAGGATGTACAGCAAACATCAGCAAGTTCACCGCGGCCATGCCCGCCCATCCCCGCCCATCCCAAATAGAGAGGGGGGCGCGCCCCACTATTTGAGAAGGCCTGCTTTATCCCTAATAGACTGTAACCCTGACAACAGGAGCACCACTGTCAACTACTGTTGTGAATGTGCAATTACACTTTATCCCAGGGAATAAAAACCATGTTACCCAGTGTCACTCAGTGTCCCTGGCATCGCACTGGCCCTCCCAATGGATTAATGGGAAACTGACAGACTATTTAGACAACGGAAGAATTCAGATTCTGAGAAATGGGGAGAATTTCAAACACTGGGGGGAAACTGCGTTCAGCACAGGACAGAGTGTAAGAAGGAGGCGACACACAAAACAAAACAGGAATAACACGAATCAGCCGTGACTGGTGCAGAAGAGAGCCACGCAGAGAAGGCAAAGGCGTCGGATGGAAGAGTCAGCAGTAGAGTTGTGACATCACCACCTCATGCAAACAGCAGTACACGGAGGAACGGCAGGAACTATACTGTACAAAATCAGAATTCAGAGGAAACTGCAGGAAGTCCTGCATAGCTCTGAAACCCCTGCTGTTGTTTTGTTCTTTACAACCATTATTTTTATGCTTTTTAGTAGCTGTGAAAGTTACTGCAGTCCGAACCAAACAGATCTAGTGTAAATCAACAAGAGCAATGCACATTTTTTTTGAAAAATGCTTATAAAGCGTTCAGCAATTCACTCTGGACCAGACCAGTGAAAACGGACGGAACAAAAGCAGACTCTGTGGACATCAACCAGTGGAAAGGAAGCAGCTCATCACCGGAGGCTGCGGCACCTCTGCTGCTGTGACCGAAATGAATGACTGTCTAACTTTAAAATGTAATATCACAACGTCAGCCTGCCCAGGGACCATGGGTGGAAAGTAGTTCTTGAGCTATAACCTGGTACAATCCATCTTTCCCTTTGAGGTTAATGTTTATTGTACACTGTCCCTGTCATCTTAAATAAATAAACTACACTACATCACCTGGGGTAGATTCAAGCCATGAACTGTGTGTAATCATAAAGGAATTTGCTTCTCCAGTACCAGACAATAGTAAGTTAGCTGTTATTACCGTGACATTTTTTGACAGTATACTTTTGTCTATCAAAAAAATGTTATGGACATGCGTCAAACGCTTTTGAGGAAGAATAGCATCAAAACATACCAAGGTAATAACATCACTTACTTACTATTGTCTGGTAAAGAAGAAATAAAATACCAAGATGCACTTTCTTAAACTAATATGAATCATGCATGCGGACACAACCTCTGACTATTGTACCTTCAGTCTTTCAAACTTCCTAAATGAAGAAGGAAATACTCAAACAGAGAAGTAGAATTTAACCTTATCCTGCGTTCTCTTTTTTGTTGAGGATGGTTTTCACTTCTAACAAGCACTTTCAGATTCAGAGGATAGCCCCGGCTCTCTTCAGTTATTCTTTGATATTGTTCCAATTTGCACATCTGCTGCAGTGTCCAGCTGCTGCACAAGGCAAGTTTAATTGTATAGCACAGTTCATACACAAGGCAACTCAAAGTGCTGAACAAAGTAAGACAGCATAAATGATCACAGTACATTAAAAAACAGAGATACAAATTAGGGCTGTCAGACGATTACATTTTGTAATCGAGTTAATTGCAGCTTAAAAATGTATTAATCGCATTTCGAACCATTGGCAAAATGATGCCATATTTTTCTGTAAATGGTTGTTTGAATGGAAAGATAAATGCCAACATAGTGTACATATGTACTGTATTTGTTTATTATAACAATAAATCCACATAAAATGGCATTAACATTATTAACATTCTGTCTTTCTGTAGTAGACAGTATTTTTTCAGCTCGACATATTCCGCATCTGCTAAAGCCTCCGCTTTCTTATTTTTCTCTGTCTCATAAAGGCTGTGGATCCTCTTCATTATTGTCTCTACAAACTATTGTTTGTTACAGCGATGAGAGACATTTGAAAACAGTCTGAAATGCATGTTAGCCAAATCTGTTTGATTTGCTCACAACATTTCACTTTGGGCAAAAACAACATGAAATGGTAGTGCAAAGAAAAGTTAGGTACCCCAGCTTTAATTTAGCATCTTTTTTTCGCTTCAGGAGAAGACACGGGGAGAGTGACTGTTTCTTGCAGCGCTGTTTTTATTGGGTGCACTGGTCACGCCTGTGCGTGATCAGTGCACACAGTGGTCCTGTGCGTGTATGCATTAGGTACGTGGCCATGTTACGGCTGCGCGCTCCCGTGCCGCTCACAGCGCTGGACGCGGGAACCGCTGTCCAAAGCGGCCGCAGCTGCCCCAGAACGCTGCGGACTCCCACTCACAGCAATTGCTCCGCGGTCACGCGGGCGGGATTCCAGTCACTTGGCACATGCGTTAAAAGCGTGAATTTTTTTTACGCGATTAATGAAAACTCGATAACTTTGACAGCCCTAATACAAATATAAATCCCTTAGTTGTATGCACAGCTAAACTGTTTTTACCCTGGATTTAAACATTGTCAAAAAAGTCTCACATTTTCAGGAAGATTGTTGCCGATTTTAGCTGCATTAATCTCAAATACAGCCTTCCCATGTTTAGTTCTGATTCTGGGAACAAGAAGGAGTCCAGAGCTGTTTTAAAGTATTTTCTCCGAGCCACAGGAAGCCAGTGCAGAGACCTGAGAACTGGACTAATGTGGTCGTACTTCCTGGTTCTAGTCAGGACTCGAGCTGCTGTATTTTGAATGTACTGCAGCTGTTTTACAGCCTGTTTGGACAGACCTGTGAGCAGGCCATTGCAGTAGTCTAACCTACTGGAGACAAATGCATGGATAAGAATCTCCAAGTCTGCTTTAGACACTATGTTTTTGATCCTGGCAATGTTTTTTAGATGGTAAAAAGCTGCTGATGTTACTGATTTGATGTGGCTATTAAAATGTAAGTCTGAGTCCAGTATTACCTCTAGATTTCTGACCTTGTTTGAAGGTTTTAGGGAGAGTGACTGGAGGAGACAGGTGACGCTCTCACATACAGACAACGTGATGCATCATAACTGTGACTTATTTAAAGTGAAGAGAGAGAACATTTATCCAAAGCATACCCAATTAAGACCCGCCCATGTTCACCCACAGAGCTGGCTGATTGGGAAAAATGAATTAAAAAGAAATCTAATCTAATCTCCGCCCCCACTGTTTCTCAAAACAAATGGAAAATCTCAAGATCACAGGATGCCCTGTGCGTCTGTTATTGGAGTGTGAGTATTCGTTAATGAGAATCAGAATTCTTCATGAGCTGAGGCCATATTAACACATTCTCTGCATTCAAAATGATCTGTTCAACTCTCGATGGATTTGCTCTCTATGTCCTCAAAAGCAGATGTAAGATAGTCTGGCCTTTGCCATCCGTAAACTCCGGTCAATTATAATTTCCCTACATTTAAGAGATCCTTTGAACGTCCCACAGTGAGGAAATTTCAGTACGTCTGGGTCTAATCCTATAGTGGCTGCAGTTACCTTGGTTGTATCCCATCCGACCATTCAGCGAGCGCGGGGGGCGGGTGTTGTAGGCAGGTGTCGGTGACGTCAAGAGTTTGTGCCACATTTGCTGGTTGTAGTTTGGCAATGGCAGCGAATGCAATGGTAAGGTAATCCGTTCTAATTTGGCTCCAAATAACAAGAAATTGAAGCAAGATGAATGCTATCTAATGTCATCGCTGGTAAAGATGTTGTGTTTCTACTCTCCACAGGCTTCGGTAGTGGCAAAGGAGATGGCTAAAGCTAGGCTAAATGCTAAATGCCTCACTCACTCAGGCGCATTACATACATCACACTAAACCCAGATCCAATTGTTTCAATCTACAAAAGGAATTAACCCCTCCCACCTGTTAACGGAGCTCAATGGGGCAAATGTAGACCTTAGCCACATCAAATCAGTAACATCAGCAGCTTTTTACCATCTGTGTGTTTCAGAATCGATTTTAAGGTTCTTTTAATGATTTTTAAATGTCTTAATGGTCTAGGGCCTTCTTATCTTTCAGATTTGCTTTTATCCTATGAACCTTCCGGGCCCCTGCGCTCCTCCGGCAGCAGACTCCTAACCATCCCCAAAGTCAGGACACACACTCACGGCGAGGCATCTTTCCAGCACTACGGCCCCCGTCTCTGGAACAGTCTGCCGGAGGAGCTCAGGGCCGCAGAGAACGTTCATATTTTTAAAAGTAGGCTCAAGACGCACCTTTTTAGAGTAGCTTTTGATTAGTTTTTATTATTCCATTCTATTTATCTTTTATTATTTATTATATTGCTATTGCTATTATTCATGTATTGTGTGTTCCTTTTAGTCTCACATTTTAGTGTTTTACTTATTGTATTGTTTTTAGTGTACCCAGTGTTTCCTCTGGAGGAGCCCTCTGCACCGGGAGCAGTGGTCGGTGTGGCTGCGGGGGTCGGACTCTTGGGCCTGGTGGGGGCCTGGGGCCTCGGTTTCATGTCTCCTCTGGGTCCTGTGTCGTCCCCTGTGGCTACGGGCGGCTCTCTGCTCCTGGTGCAGACGGCTCCTTGGATGACGCTTTTTCAGCTGGTTGCATCTGAACCCTGCCAAGTCTCTCATCATGTTTTTATTGTTTTACTGGTGTGTGTGTGTGTGTGTGTGTGTGTGTGTGTGTGTGTATGAGTGTTCATGAGCGCGTGTGTGTGTGTTTGTGTCTGTGGTTTGGGGTGGGTCTGTTGGGTGGTCTGGGGGAGGGGTCTTGGGTCGGCGGGATTGTTTTTAACCAAACTGTAAAGCACTTTGTGTTGCATCTTATGTATGAAAAGCGCTTTATAAATAAAATTTGATTGATTGATTGATTGATCTAAAAAACATTGCCAGGATCAAAAACATAGTGTCTAAAGCAGACTTGGAGATTCTTATCCATGCATTTGTCTCCAGTAGGTTAGACTACTGCAATGGCCTGCTCACAGGTCTGTCCAAACAGGCTGTAAAACAGCTGCAGTACATTCAAAATGCAGCAGCTCGAGTCCTGACTAGAACCAGGAAGTACGACCACATTAGTCCAGTCCTCAGGTCTCTGCACTGGCTTCCTGTGGCTCAGAGAATAGACTTTAAAACAGCTCTGCTTGTGTACAAGTCTCTCCATGGCCTCGCACCAAAATATATTAGTGACATGTTAGTCCCATATGAACCAGCCCGGACTCTGAGGAGCACAGGGACTGGACTCCTGTTAGTGCCCAGAGTCAGAACTAAACATGGGGAGGCTGCTTTTCAGATTCATGCTGCTAAAATCTGGAACAATCTTCCTGAAGATGTGAGACAGGCCTCCTCTCTGACAATGTTTAAAACCAAGTTAAAAACAGTCCTGTTTAGCTGTGCATACAACTGAGGGATTTTATATTTTTATCTTTCTTTTTAATGTTCTGTAATTATTTATGATTTTAATGCTATCTTGTTCAGCACTTTGAGTTGCCTTGTGTATGAATTGTGCTATACAAATAAACTTGCCTTGCCTTGCCTTGCCTAGTACATTATGTAATTAGTTTGATGGTCCAGGCTAGATTAAAGCACTTTTGAACAGTCTTTTAGTTATGTTCCTCTCTAGTCCTCTTCAGTGCATTGAGGCAAAGTCCATGACATTTAGAACATATTCCTGGGGAAATATAGTCGCACCATATTTCGACCATTGAATTAGTGCCGTGGGTACAAATCCTCCATATGCCAGTTTCATACACCATATGCTGACTGTTTTGATAACATTTTGGAGATTCCAAGTCTATTTCTGACTCATGTGTAGCTCGAGAGTTTATTATCTGTTTATTAAATATGTATTATTTTTCATCTTAAACAATAAATTATTGTTATCTACAGTGGTGAAGAAGTTCTGTATTCCGCGGTTACAAACTTTTTCCACTCTGAGACTTGGTTTAGAAAACATTTGTTAACAGTTTGTCCAGTAACCAGCTCTGTGTGTGTAGCATTGATGGTCGGATAAATAAGAGTCAAGAGAGTACAGAAGTTTCCTCTACCTGCCTGCGGGGGCCACCTTAGTTTGTCCCTTCTGAAATGTGATAATTCTCCTCTTTTTTACACATTAACATGAAAAGTAAAATATGAAGATAGATACTTTATTGATCCCCGTAGGAGAAATTCAGGTGTCCAGTAGCAGCAAAAAAAAAAAAAAAAAATGTATCATTCTAAAAAGTTGAAAATAGTAATAATCAGCAACAGCCCTTCAGGTTCCTCTCCTCTAGTCCAAAGTAAAATGCTTCATTAGCATTAGCATTCCTCCAGTGGATTTTCACCTGATCCGCTTGGTTCGGACCATGAATCCTCTCCAAAAAAACCATGAACACTATACTACAGCAACATCTCAGGTAGAAAATAGCAATGAAAATAAAAATTCAGAAGCACAAAACAGCAACTGTTTCAGAGCTACTTAGGACTTGCAGCCATTTTCAAAAGTACATTTCAAATTAAATGGGCGTTTATATTGTGTTATTACAGTGTCATTATTAGCCATGTTAATTATCATGGGTCCAGTTTGTTTTGCAGTCTGGGTCTGGACGGGGCCTACGGCGTGTTTTTAATGTGGGGTCTAAATGTGAGAGAGCATTAGTGTCGCAGTGTTGTTGAACAAACATGTTTGTTGATGTCCGATCTGCTCAGGGGGTCTATCGCCCTGAGCAGATCTGAAGTTCATGCTACGCAGCCCAGGAATTAATGGGAGCTGAAGGCTTTTTCCTCAAAAAAAAGGGCAGTTTTACCATCAGAGGAAAAAGAACGTGATCCTCAACTCCCTCCATCCACTAAAACAAATCCACTATTTCTGTCGCCTTTCGGGTTTTGTCTGCAAACCATCTTTTCCGGTAGCATAAAAATATACAACGCTACATTGATTAAATATAAAAATGTAGTGAACAAAAACAGTCAGCAGAAAAGAATAAGCAGTCAGATCTCCACATGGTGCCGTGATTCACCTATTGTTGTCTGATTTCTACTCAAGGCAAAACACTTCATTGATTTCTACAGAAGCTGTAGTGTGCCTTCTCTCTGCCGGAGCAGCATGTGTGTGTACAGTGTGTGAAACGTCTGTTCTTGTCCTTTAGGTACATCAGCCACAATAGGATCTCGGTGCTGAAGCCCGGAGTGTTTCGGGATCTGCACAAGCTGGAGTGGCTGTAAGTGATTGTGTGGAGACTCTCCTACTGCTGCGTGAAGCCAGAGGGTTGCTGTCATCATCAAAGCATCTACAAACCTATATTTCTACTATTATGATATGTCATACAATAGACAGGAGTGAGACTTGTGTGTGTATTCAATTCAATTTATGTTTGAATGTTGTATTTAAACCACAACAGTAGTTATCTCAAAGCACTTTACAAATCATCAATTCGCCAACACAGATCAGAGAATCAAACAGTTCTAACACAAGAAATGCAATCGAAAAAATACATAGAGCCATTAGTCCATGAGGGGAAGATTACCAAGGTCCATAAATGTTAATAAATGTCCATGAATGTTGTTGGACATTATGCTTATGAACAAGAAGTTCTCACTCAAAATCAAGAAACACACTTGAAATAAAACTCTGTGATCTTGCTTTACGACCACGAATTTCTTTGTATGGATGGATGTGTTTCTGCTGCTGGACACCTCAATTTCTCCTGCGGGGATCAAGTATCTATCTACATATATCAATTAAGTTAAAAATAATTGCTAAGATGGCTGCCATGAGCAGTGGTGGTTTGTTGGGCTCCACTATTGCTTTTGTATTTCCATTGTTGCTTAAGTTTTGTGTGCTCGATTTGGTTGGACTTGTCCACACTATTCAACATCTCTACTTGTGTGGAACAGAAGTCTTAAACTGGACAAAAGAACCAAGAACTCCGACTCCAAACTGTAGCACAAGAGACAAAGGATACAACTGCACATGGCAATTGTGTTGGCAGCATCTCTGGTCTTTCATGGACTATATCTGGACACCACTACACCCCAGTTCAAGAAGGAGTAAACACCAATACAATTCCAAAGAGAAAGCAAAAAGCTACGAAAGGTATGTCTTTGTGTGGCTAGTTTGCTGTTGGTATCTTTGTGTTCTACTGGGACCATGCTGGACTAAACAGGAAATAACATGCAGGCCAACTCATGCTGTACCAATGATTGTGAAACCATCTCTAGGCTTTTTTGGATATGGATTTCATGTTTTGTATTCAACATGCTGGCAAAATAAACACGAACTTTGCACCACAAGCAAGTCTAAACAACTGAGGAGCAGGAAGAAGGGATCCTTCTGGACATTGCTTCTCCTTTTGCTCCTGTTAAGTGGTGACATACAACTAAATCCAGGTCCTTTAAAGAACATTTGCTCAAGTTTATTTGTGGAATTACACACTGAAGAGTGTCTACAGCACCATCTTGTGGACATGCCTAGTTCTGCAATTGCGAGGACCCTTACTACTGCTGCACAAGATGAAGATTTTTCATTGAAGTTAAATGGGAGCCCTTTGGATGCGGCAGCAAAAGTTGTTGGAAATGTTGCAAACCCTGAAATGGAAAATACAGCTACCATCCAGTCTCTCTCTGCTTTTCACCTTGAAAATCAAGCAAAATCAAGTGCTAAAAAGATTTCTGGATATGCGTCCAACAAGCAAAAAGAACTGAAATATTTTCAAACTGTGAATCATGCAAAGGTGATTTGGGATGCAAAAGCTAAACCTAAAGGTATATTTGGAGGTCATCTTAATATTTGAAGTGTTCTGTCAAAACTAAATGAAGTTCACCATTTACTGAGTAATTCAAATTTAGATTTCTTAGCCATGAGTGAAACCTGGCTACATAGTAACATCTCAACAAACATGATTGATGTTCCTGGTTACACATGTTATAGGAAAGATCGTCCAAATGGAAAAGGGGGAGGGGTTCTGATTTATATTAGAGATAGACTTAAATGTTCAGTTATTGATTTTAATACTTTTGGAATAGAATGCCTTGGATTAAACGTTGAGCTATCGCCTACAATGAAATTTAATATTATGGTTTTATATAACCCACCATCTCATAGTGTATCTTTTTATAGTGATTTTGATGAACTATTAAAACAGATTAATATAAAAAGTGAAACAATTTTAATGGGAGATTTTAATATCAATTGGATGGAGAATGGGAGAAAAGACAAACTAAAAATTATAGCATCAAAACATAAACTGCTTCAAATTGTTAAAAATCCAACAAGGATTACTCGGTCTAGTCAAACTTTAATAGACTTGATTTTTACAAACAAATCAGAACGAGTTACTAAAACTTACAACTTTGTGACAGGTCTATCTGATCATAATTTGACGTTGATTGTGCGAAAACTAACCAAGAAGCGACTGGAGGGAATTTGCTCGCGTTTCAAAAACCAACAGGAGGAAAGTGACCCTGCCATGGATATCTGATCATATTTATCAACTTATGAAAAAGAGGGATCTAGCACTGAAAAAATCTATCAAAACTAAATTACAGACAGATATACTGGTCTTTAAGGGACTAAGGAATAAAGTTGTTAGTGAATTAAGAAAAGCCAAGTCCTCTTATTTCATGCATCTGTTTGCTGAATCACATGGAAACAGTTCGCTTATATGGAAGCACATTAATAAATTGACCAATCGTAATTCGAGTCAGAGTAAATGCATAACTAAACTGGATGTAAATGGAACGATCAGTAGTAATGCTTTGGAAATTGCAAATGAATTTAACTTCTATTTTGTTGATTCAGTGGAGAAGCTTGCTGCAAGTTTCAATTCAATTTCTGTCGCATGTGATGATGTGAAAGATTCAAATTCATCCTTTAATGTCACACAAGCTGATCAAAAAAAGATCCATACAATTATTAATCAATTAAATAGTTCAAAAGCCAAAGACCTTTTTGATTTAGATACACATTTAATCAAAAAGTATAGTAACGAATTGTTAAAACCAGTATCACATTTAGTGAATTTATCAATCAAAAATAATGAATTTCCTGAAAATCTCAAAACGGCTGTTGTGACTCCAATTTTTAAATCAGGAGCTACAGATAAAGCTTGCAATTACCGACCGATCTCAATTTTACCTGTAATTTCCAAAGTGTTAGAAAAGCTTGTGGCTGAACAGTTGATGAACTACTTGGAGGAACATAGTCTACTAAACCCTAAACAATTTGGATTTCGACCAAAGCACTCCACTGAGATGGCTGTATGTCACTTTACAGAAACCATCAAAACAAGTTTGGATAAAGGTAAATGTGTGGGAGCAGTATTTCTCGATTTAAAAAAAGCTTTTGATACTGTAAACCACCAAGTACTCTTGAGAAAACTGAAACAACTAAACTTTTCCAAACAAGCTTTAAATTGGTTTAAATCATACCTTGCATCAAGACAACAGTGTGTAAAAATAAATGGTGTTAAATCTACCATCCAAAAATGTAATTTAGGTGTACCACAAGGGTCGATATTGGGCCCCTTGTTGTTCTGTCTATACATAAATGATTTACCGGAAATCTGCAAAAATACCAGCTGCCAATTGTATGCAGATGACACAATCATTTATGTAGCTGCAGATTCCCCTAAACAGGCTTCAGACTTGTTGAACAGACAGCTTGTCAGCACATCTCAGTGGCTGCGGGACAACTGTCTGACCTTAAATTATACTAAAACTGTTGCCATGTGTTTCTCTCTAAAGAGAAATTCACCAAATGATCTAAACATTAATATTGACAAAAATAAAATCGAGCAGGTTGATGAGTTTAAGTATTTGGGGGTTATTATAGATTCTAAACTGAAGTTTGATGCCCATGTCAGAAAAATGTCTAAGACCATCAAGACAAATTTAAATTGTTTCCGTATAATTAGGTCTTGTGTATCAACTCAGGCGGCACGAGTATATCTACATGCTATGATTTTATCTCATATGTCGTATTGTTCAATCGTTTGGGGCCAGGCCTCACAATCTGTCCTAAAGCCTTTAACATCACTCTACAAGCAAACACTTAAAGTGTTTGATCAAAAACCAATGAAGTGGCATCACTGCACTATCATTCAAAAATATAAAATGATGACATTCGATAGCTTCGTCAGTTTCTCTTTTATAAAAAATATATTCAAGTGTCTTAATGGTCTTGCTCCGTCTGTAATGTGTCAGTTAGTACAAAAATACACTAATCAAGGAGTGAGCACCAGAGCTGGAGTCAGCGGGAACTGCAGAGTGAAGTTTTGTAAAACTGCTCTGGGTCAGTCTGCGTTCTCAGTAAAAGGGACACAGTTATGGAACTCTTTGCCACTGGAGCTAAAGTCCCAAATGGACCTGAGACTTTTCTCACAAAAGCTGAAGCTGTGGCTAAAGAACAAACAAAAGTGTGAGCACTGAACAGTTTGGCTGGACTTGGGATGGGAAGTGGTCAGATATGTCTTCTCCTCTTTCTTTTTATTGTTGTATTGTTTGATGCCTTTTACTGATTTTTCATCTTTCTGTTCTGTTTTAAACCCCTTTGAAAAGCCTAACCAGGGACGGGGGCTGCAAATTAGCCTATGGCTAGACGCCTTATGTACATAACATCGGCCACTGAGCTGGCAATGTTTTCTTGTACTGTCCCTGTCAAATAAACAAATAAATAAAAAAATAAATAAAAAACTCTTTCAAATAGATAGATAAATACTTTAATGATCCCCATAGGAGAAATGCAGGGGTCCAGTAGCAGCAGAAACACATGTATTCATGCAAACAAAACAAATATAAGATCATTCTAAAAATAGCTGACTTCATTGGAATAAGTTATCATTTTAAAAAGTAATATGAGGCTAAAATGTAATGTCTGTATTGTAATTCACTTTAGCTCCAGGAAGACTCCAGGAAGTCTGGCGGGCTCGTATGTTAAACATCGGGAGGAAGCAGGCTTTGTATTGACCAGATGCATCGACGTCATCCAGTCACGTGATTGTGCATGAGCTTAGGGCGGAAGTAGTGGAAACTAGCATTGCTGCGAGAGCAAAACAGACTACAACTTATAATCTGAGACGCATCTCCTTAAATGAGAGGTGACGGCTTCAAGCACATGTTCGATTACGTTATAGGTGAAAGTAGGACATCAAGTCAGGGTACACAAAGAGTGGTATTTGGAGGATCGCCGAACTGAATGTTGACCAGTACCTTCTCCCCACAGTCAA